ACCCTAAAAATTATGTTTTCTTCTCATTAATTCATATTTACTTTATTTTTTTTTGGTTTTTCCCATCATTTCGACATGAATACTCCCACCGTACAGAAATACACGATTTCACTCAAGCCCGTGTACAATATACAGCGTGATATTGTTTCTGCGATACTCATTCCTGCAATGATTTCAATAGCTCGACAAATAATAAAAAAAGACGGCCTGCTATCTCTTAACTTAACTCCTTATAATGTCAAACAGTAGAATTAATATGATAGATAAAAACATAAAAATTCTTCAACATAATTGTCGAAGTATAAATAATAAATTCTCAGAAATTATTAATTTTCTTAACATAAACAACATCCTTATAGCTCTACTACAGGAAACATGGTTTGATAATAAACGGACTTACCGTGCACAGAATTACAACATAGTAAAAAGAAATAGACGAGACAGGTACGGAGGAGTGGGCATCTTTCTCCATACTTCTTTACTTTATGAAATCATAGACTTACCAAATCTGGGAACAATTGAGGCAGTAGGGGTAAAACTTCTTAACACAATACCTTCCATCATCATAGTTTCAGTATATATCCCACCAGACAACAGAAGGCGGCCATCACTTCGAAACCTTGAAAATCTTTTTGACCTGCACGTCAAATTTCCAAATTAGTGTGCTCTTGGGAGATGATTTTTATACGCACTCCACTTTTTTTGGTGCTCAAAAAAAATATGATACTCCCAGAGGAGATGACTTAATTCTGGCATCCCAAAACAGTCCGCTAATCCTATTAAATGAAACAGGAATAATCACTAAATTAGGTAACTCTCTATCAAGACCTTCCGTTATAGATCTAACATTTGTTACAGCCGATCTCTATCATAACCTCACCTGGGTTGTAAGTCCAGAAACGCTAGGGAGTGACCACTTACAAATAATAATCGAAGTAAACAACTGCAGAATCAAGAGGCAACACAAATTCAATTCTAAAAGAAATTTCAAAAGATTAAATGAAAAAATATTTACAGATTACCTCCTGGAAATGGAGAAACCTAATATAAAATACAATATATCAGACTTGACTAACATTATTAACCAAGCAGGAGAACAGCTATTCCTCGGAAGTGTTCGGAATACCATCCAAAATTTATCCCGAAGTGCTGGTGGAATGAAGACATTCGCAAGTCGTATGGGGAAAAGAAGATAGAAATAAAAGAATATGACAATAGAAAACTACAAAATCATGAGAACGAAAATAAATAAGACTAAATCACTTATTAAAAAGGCCAAAAGCGAGACTTGGAGAAACTACATCGAAAGCATCAACCCAAAACAAACCGGCTCTATGTGGAACAAAATTAAAACCTTACGTGGTAAGCGAATTTACATGCAAAATATGGTGTTAAGTAACCGAACACATGCAATAGGCTTTCTCGAACAATTGTCGAACATCTTTGTGCCCAGACAACCATTGCTTCGCGGTTCTAATGTACATATTGTCCACCATTTAGATTCCCCCTTTCAATTAACAGAGCTGGAAGCGGCATTGAAAGGGAAATTTGGATCCGCCCCCGGTGTGGACGAAATCAATTACCAAATGATCAAACTCTTACCGGCTTCGATGAAACAGAGATTGCTTTCTGCTTATAATCAAATTTGGGAGGATGCCAAGGTTCCTCCGGACTGGCGAAATATACTCATATTCCCAATATTAAAGCCTGGTAAAGATGCACTTCAGATCACTTCATACCGCCCTATTGCTTCATCTCATGCTTAGCAAAAGTTTTCAACAAAATTGTCAAAACGAGATTAGAATGGTTTATAGAATCAACAAATATCTTGAGTCCTCTCTGTTTTGGTTTTAGGAAAAACAGGTCAACCACTGATGCAATCTTGATTCTAATCAATGATATCTACAAAGCTTTCAGAGAAAGAAAGATCCTAGTGGCATTAATCATTGATATTGATAAAGCATATGACCATGTAAAAATACAAATCTTGCTATCTAAATTAAAAAATCTGCACATCCCTACAAAACTAACTCACTGGATAATAAATTACTTAACTCATCGAACATATTTTCTGGACATTTGGGAAGGTCGAGTATCTTATGAAACCTACAGTGGTCTCCCTCAAGGAGATACTTTAAGTCCAACCCTCTTCAATCTTTACACGGAACATATCACCAACAATACAATTGACAAGTGTAAAATCATTCAGTTTGCAGAAGAAGGGAAAGACATAATCAGCTCAGCATTGGACAACCTAACACAAGCATTTTCAATAATAGACCTAAAAATTAATCCTAACAAATGCAGCATTACTCCTTTTACTAGAAAAAGAACAATTAACTTCAAAGATTTTGAGATTTCAAATGAAAAATACACAGTTAAAAGCGAAGAACACTTAAAGTTTTTAGGCGTAACATTAGACACTAAATTAAATTTCAAAACGCATATAAAAAATATTCACACACAGTCGCTGCATAACTTAAACATACTAAAATCTTTAGCTGGAGTATCGTGGGGTTCTCACCCACAAAACATGCTCACTCTCTACAAAACATTAGTAAGATCTAACTTCGATTATTGTTGTGTCGTATACAATCAAACTAAATCCCCTCATTAATAAGTTGAATACAACACAAAATGTGCCATAAGGTTATGTTTGGGTGCTTTTAAAACTTCTCCAGTAAACGCGCTTCAGGCCTCAGCCGGAGAGATGCCATTACACATCAGAAGGTCATGGTTAACGAAAAAATACATCCTCAAAGTGTATTCCGACAATAATCATCCTTTAGGTAAAGAAATTAGAAGTGGAAACGTGGTCTGTCCCCAACTATCTTTCATTATTAACGAATTGCAGCCTCTTATTAAATCACTACACATTTCGGAAGCACCTCTAGAATACACAACGCCCATTCCCAAATCTTTAATTAATATTCACAGCTCCTCTAATCTAGCTGGTAAATTAGAGAAGAAAAGTTCATACCCACCAATTTATTTGAAACAATTAGCACTAAACACAATCACTGACCGCTACCCAAATTATCTACAAATTTATACAGACGCATCAAAAACAAGTAACCGAACTTCTGTAGCTGTGTATGATCCCCAAAAGAACCAGAAATTTTCACTATCAATTCCAGTTGATTTCAGTATTTTCAGCGCCGAACTATATGCCATTCTTAACGCCATAATATACAGCGAAAACACATATATCAACCAAAAAATAGTTATTCTGACAGACTCCGCAACGACATGTAAACACCTAAAATTAATCTACCAAAATACCAAAGCACTGACACATATTTCCTTTAAAATTATATCTCTGATACATAACTCCAGCAACAATTACTTTTTTCAGTGGGTGCCGGGACACGTAGGAATATAGGAAATGAAATTGCAGATAAAACAGCAAATCAAAACCAACTACACCGAATAAACGCGAAGGTCCCTTTACTTGATTTGATAAGAGTAGTGAGGGGGAAAATAATGAAAGACTGGCAGCATTTCTACGACTGGGAATGTGCCTCGAAGGGTAAGGACCATCGCAGTTCAACGAAAATAGCACTGATTCCATGGTTTGCGACCTTAAATCTCATCTCGACCGCTCCAGCTTAGTAAAGCTGACCAGGCTTAGGATAAACCACGGTAGAACAAATAAATATCTTCATCTAATGGGGCTAGCTGAGAGCAGTCAATGCCCAACATGCCAATGCTTGGAGGATCCAAGACACATTGCCTTCAAGTGCAAAAGGTTCGAAAAGCGAAGAAGAATTAGTTTAGGGTCGCAAACTATGGATGATGGAGCTAACTTTCTTCGGTCGATGAACAAAGATAACGCTCGTGACTTGTTAAAGTTCATGAATGACATCAAAGCAGTCATATAATAAAAGTCGGCACTTAGTTAATTGCAATTCTAATTCATCTCAGTTTTTAACCATTAGTCTTGCTAGTTTCCATAATATCTAATATCTATAATATAATATCTAATATCCAAGTCCCATATAAGTCACTTTCAATTATCATCTAACTGTAAATAATTAATATAAATCCATGTTTTCCGTCTAAAAACCTTAATTTCATCTCACTATGCAAAAAAATATTTTGCTGGCAAAATAGGACTTGCTTTTACAAGTCTTAAAGCCAAAAAACCAAAAAAAAAAAGTACCATTTATTTATTATACGTGAATGAAAATTTACTACAAAATGATTTGAGGAAAAATATTTAGTCTTTTAAATAATGAATATAATGTTTTAGAGAGAGCATTAGGATATTTTATTTTTTAAAGCTAAATTTTCATCTTACGTGGACTTTCCGTGCGATCAGCCCTTATGAAGGCCTGCCATCGGGCTGAAATGTCATAAAAATAAAAATTATTTTTTTGACTGAACGTCCCAACAGACTTCTCTTCAATTAAACTTTTAGTAATTTATTTTTATCTCTTTATTTTATTTTTGTAAACTAAGAAGAAGTTTAACTAATAGTAAGATTATCGCTAAACTATTTACTTTATTTCTTTTGGTAGCGACAGCAGATGAATAATATCAAAAACAAGCAACAAAATTAACAGCATAGTAAAATAACATTTTTATATTTATTATTCCCACAGTTTCTGAAATGTCTGAACGCACCTTTAGTTTTTAGAAAAAAAATTATCGGATATAGCGACAGTCAGCTCTGGACCATATCTAAACAAAATCCACAGTATATTATTTCCAATTAGAAAAAATCTGGTGCACACAACTTTCACTTACCTTTCTACTTTGAATAGAAATTATTTTGTGGCAATGTTGAGCAATTATAAAATTTTTAAAAACTACTTTTGTAAGGCTTATTAAAAGATTTTTTTATTGTCATTGCAATGTACTATTTTTTCTGATACTGGTTTAAAGTTTTATTAACTCTTCTTATTTAATTGTTCCTTTATTTTATTTATCTACTTTTTAAAAAAAAATGTATTAATGATTCTATTTATTTATTTTGTCTAATGTTTTATGCTATGCAGCCTGAATTCCAAAATGTCGTGGAAATGGATCATCCATATTCTCGTCCATGGAACTGGAGACCAGATAATTTTTATGCGAAGCCAGCCAAGAAATTGTTTGTTTCAAAAAACAACAATTCTTGGTAAGTTTTATTATTCCTATAAATTCTATTTATTTATTGTTATGATATAATAATTAAATTGAAGGAGTAAATTATATACTGTTCAGTAGTTCATGCTTAAGTGAATATCTTTACTTTAATCTTGCTACTTAGGCCTTGTATCTATTAAATATGTAAAACATTCATAGGCGTCGATTACTAGGGGCCCTCTCGGGATTACTAGGGGCTTGAGCCCCTCCAATGCTGCCGGGTTGAGGGCCTAGCTCCTCTCTCTCCAACAAATTGCTATAGTATGAACTTAAGCCCAATCAAATTAGACATGTTACCTTGCAAAAGGTCGTGTTCAATTCAAATTTCTTTTTTATATTGTTAGGTGTGTAGTGAATATAAAAAAAATCCAAATTTTTCCCCTTGAAAACCTTGTCTTGTGGATGTGTTCTAGTGTTCCAAAAACCATTGAAATTTCGAAAAAAAAAATTTAGTTTACGCTAAATACCTTCTTTTTAGAGCGACATATTTAAAAAATGGTTATATTCAATCTTAAATAGCTTAAAATTATGTGACATTTTTGTACATAACATTTTTTTCTAAACCCAACATGAAGTGAACTATTGAACTTTCAAAATTTCCCTATATTGATTTCTTCACAGAAATGCTCTTTCAGTTTTGGATGGAAGAATTATGAACCTCATTCAGAGAATTTGGAGGTTTTCCTTGAAGATAATGAGTCAATGACTGAACTAGTAGATGATAGTCAGGAAATGTTTTGAAAAGTATGTCACACGTTGGACCAGATCCCCTCCCCCTACCGTGTGCCCTCCGTCCACATCCCAAAAATTGCATACAGTTGTGTTCTATGTAACTATTTATTAAAAAAAAAAGCCAATGTTCCCACAAAAGAAGTGGCTTCACTGTTCCAAAATGGTGTCCAAACAAGGAGGATTGATGTCTTTGACTTAATTAGTTTTTTGGTCACTAAGATTCAGCATTTGGCTTAGTTTTGTCGCAATTGGCCTTTTATGAAAGCTGAATAGTTAGATAATAATAAAACATGAAGAAATATTAAAAAGTAATAGATATCATCAGTAAAATTGATTTTATCGAGTTGTTCAAACTAAAGTTGAGAATCAAACGTTTGTAAATAAATGGCTAACAATCATAAAAAAATGACCATAAATAAAACATCTGAAGAATAAATTTTTCTTTCTAAAACACTGATGATATTTTTTAAAAAATATTTGAAGCGGTTACGTACAAAATATACTTTAGCGGCACTGGCATAGATGGCTAGAGTCCTCTGCCACATCATTCAGTACCCATAAATGGCATAGTTACAGTGTTATAATAACATTTTTAGTACATTTTGATTGTATTAACAAACAAATATTAATACAATAATTTCATTGTCCAAAACATTCTTTTGTGAAGAAATTGAGCAGTCTTAAGATAATAACAATCCGTAGGAACACAAACAATGGTATGTAATTCAGATAATATTAATAATTAAAAAATGTGTTAGAATAAAGTTCATTTAAAAGTTACAAGAAAAACAATAATTGTTGATGATTAATTTCATTAAAATTAATTGGAAAATAGAAATAATATAATCAAAAGTTTTTTTTTCTAATTTCAAGACATTAATTTCTTTTTAATGATTTGTATTTAAGTTGTTAAGTTTAGAGAAATATGTTTCTCATTAAAGCTGTAGTAAATTGTGTGTGCTTTAATATTTAATTTAAAAATTTGAGCTATGTCACCTATAAAAACAGGTAATTAATTAAGAACTAAAAATAATGCATGTTTTTTGTAAATTTTCAAAACTTTACCCATTTTGAAAGCTCGATAATTCACTTCCTGTTAGATTTAGAAAAAATGTTAGATAAGCTCTTTAATATTGAATATAACTATTTGCTTTCTATGTTGCTTAAAAAAAACAGATATTTAGTATAAACCAAAAAATTGTTTAAATTTCAATTGTTTTTGGAGCACTGCAGCAAACCCACAAGGCTTTCAAGGGTGGAAATTTAGATTTTTTTATATTCACTATATACCTAACAATATAAAAAAGAAATTTAAATTACCCGACCTTTTTAAGCTAGACCTATTTTTGACTGGGCTACTTCATGAACATATCGATCGTGTACATTACAATTCCATTACAAAGGATTTTATCTATCTACTAGCAGGTATAGTGGAATTATTTTTAATGGTGTCCTATTTTCGATAAATAAACTTAACTAAACTGTTAAGGGAATCATCTATTCAAATACTGTACTGTTTTAGTTTAAAATATTTTGTATGACAACACATTTTTGTTATCAAGAAGGGCTTGAAAGAACTCTATACTTGCCCGTGATATTAATTTTTCATATAGGCATATATTGTATATTTCATATAGGATATATTCCAAACAACGTCCCTAACTTCTCAGGCTCTCTAACCTGTGATCTTATAGTTTAAACCCCCTCCCCTCCCCCTCCCTCCCAATAATTTTCATAAGTCAATACGCCTATGAAAACATTCAACAGTGACAATGTGAATAAGAGTTGGACCACTGTCATCAATTATTACATTGGTATTTGTAACATTAGCTGGAACTGTTCATGGGGCAGTTATGGCATGTTTTAAACATTGGACATGAGGCTGAAGATATTGGTCAACTCAAGGAAGATTTTAGAGCTTAATTTAATCAAATTAATAAGTTCTGGGTATTTAACATTTTAATAATGCTCTAGTTGTAGTTGTGAAGGAAGTATTAAATTAATAGTTTGTTATAATTATGAACAATTTTAGGGGCTCCACTGAAAACATAGATCCTGTTGGTGAAGTTCCATCACCTACTCCAGCTTATAATCAACAGAAAGCTCAAGTGATGATGGATGAAACAAGTCGTCTCATTACTCTGTTACGTTCTGATCCTGGTGATGTTGATTGGGAATCTAAAATAGATAAGTAAGACTTATTTCAAATGTTCAAAATTATTATAGGTTTGTGTTAAATAGTTTTTAAGGATTCTACAGGTTCGTTCAATACTACATACAAAACAAAACAAATCTTTAATAAATAAAACGTTTGGTAAAAACAAAATTAGAAAATAAAAACATACCTCTGAATGCACATGCAATAATACAGAAACAAATTTGAAAGGAAGAAATCAACTAAAACTAACTAAAATTTGTACACTACTAAAAAAATGCTTTACAATAACTAACTGAATATAAACTCTTGAATTAATACTACTGTAATCTGTGAGCGCTCACTACACTGCATGCAGGCCACTAATAATGATATGTAATGTTCATTAACTAGTGAACCAAAAAAAAATAATGTAGCCTGTTAAACAATTGTGCTAGCACTAAAAAACAACAGGCGGCTAGAATCGATCTCTCAATCCAAAGAGGTTGCACCAGCTTGCGCATGCTATAGGCTAATTTGTCTTGGACGTTTGTCATTAGACAGAACCCTAACATTACCTCCTCCCCCCTCTCCCCCAATGACAACGTCCAGAAATTTGACATGCAGGCAGACAGTGCATTCAGAACGGGTATGGTAAACTTGATCCGCAGTTGGTGCGACGCTGCTGAATTTGTGGTATAGGTAACACACGTGGAGCTACGTCAGGCGGCTGCTGTGGTATAGGTAACACGCGTGGAGCTACGTCAGGCGGCTGCTGAGGAGAGTCGTCACAGTCATGAAGCTGGAACGCAGGCTTAAGATGATCAATTGATACGTTTATCATGGAATGATCTGAAAGCTGAATCTTATACACTTTGGTGTCTCTACTTACTATCTGATAAGGTCCGGAGTAAGGCGGTTGGAGAGGCTTTCTCACTCTGTCATCTCTAAGAAAGACATGTGTGCAGGAGCGAAGCGCTGGATGGACAAACGGTTTCTTAGTGGATGTCCCAAAGGGTGCTGGACGAATAGTATCCATCACGCTTCTCAACCAAAGTAAATTATCTCGAGGATCTTGCGGCCCAGAAGGTGAGACAAGGAACTCTCCGGGTAGGCCAAGAGGTTGGCCATATACTGCTTCAGCCACGCTGGCGTTGGTATCCTGCCTAATCGCTGACCTTAAGCCCAAAAGAACAGAGGGAAGTTTGTCCACCCAATTTCATTAATAAATCTGTTCAACATTCCACTTACACAAGTGCAAATGTATTTTTTTAGCTATGCCAATATTTGAGAAATGGCTTCTCGTTTTGACTCAAAGTTGAAGAAAGATAGGTATTGGTAAACTATAATTCTGCATCAATTTCATTGCATTCAAATTCATTGCGTCTATTGCTTTTTCTTATATATGCCCAACCGTACTTTCTGTGATACGTTCAAGGGTAAAATGTAAGTAACTGTTAACTTCATCCATATTCTGATGTTTCTTCTTGCACTACTTTTGTTCGAACTGATGGAAAATGTTGGTGAATATGGAGAAGAAGCTATACTGACCTTATTTGACAGACATTTTTTTATTAATTCAAAGCTTTGTTATGACACAAGTACTATATGAGCCTTTCAGTTGACATAATGGCTAACTCCAATTTCATCATTTTTTATTATTAATTTTAGTGATAATTCTAGAGAGAAAATGTATACCTTTTGTTGGGGCCAGGGGTACTTCAAAATTGAAGTACAATTCTTTCCCCGGTGCGTTTCCTCAACGGTGGGGAAAATTCGAGCAAAATCAAAAATGTTGGGAAAGAAGGAAAAAAATAAAAAGAGTAAAAATGAGAACTGTAAAACATTAGAGGAAAAAACAAATGCATGCAAAGAAAATATTAAAAAATAGAAATATTTCAATAAATAAAAAAAAATCCCCTTTTGAATGTTTACAATTTATTGAGAAAGAAAAGAGATATAAATTTATATAAAAGTTGAGATAAACAATACTTAAAAGCTACGAGAAAAATAAAACATAAATACAACATCGAGAGAAAATAAAAGAAATTAACCATTAACAATAAAGAAAAAAAATCAATTTCTAAAATTGTAAATAAAACAAGAGAATTTTTCCAAAGAATAAAACAAATTTAGGGAAGAAAACAGTTAATTAATATTTAAATGTCTTGGTGAGAATAAAAACACAAGCCAAGTTGGAGGTTTTGCTTCCAACCTGTTACCTTCCGATATCCAGTTGTCGAGTAATCGATGGTGGGGTCCTATCGATCTCGATCGATTAATCAGCTGTGCCCAACAGCTGATCTTCAAAAATGGCGTTGGTGATGTGAAGGAGACTAGACGGCCTGGAGCTTGGTGAGATTGGTGGGGGTTGACTTCCACTACATGGGTCTAATATCGACAAGAGCTATCTCCACACTTCCGAAAAAAAACAACAGGGCACTGATACTAGGGCGGTGGGGTTTAGTTAACTGGAGCGGCTGGTGAGAAGGTGAGAGAAATTGTCCACTACGTGGGCCCATAAAGAAGGCCAGCTCCAGACTTCTGAAAAAAATAACAGGGCACTGATACTAGGCCGGTGGGGTTTAGTTAACTGGAGCGGCTGGTGATAAGGTGAGAGAAATTGTCCACTACGTGGGCCCATAACGAAGGCCAGCTCCAGACTACTCCGGCTGTATTTTGAAGTCTTAATCCTTAAGACAGCGTATTAGTGCTGGGCTGTTGTGTATACAACGCGATAACACATCGCAAACGAAGCCAAATATAAACTTTAATATATTTTAGGGACAATATCCCCTGGCCTATTACAAAAAAATAATAAATATTCATTCCATTATTCACACTAAAAAGGGGTAATGGTGAGAAAAAATAATAATTAAAAAAATAAAGAAATGAGCGTATGCGGCGTTAACACCTTTATTCTCAGTTCTATATTTCAACACTGCAGTCACCTATTCTGGAATCAACTTATTCACTGTCTTCTCAGATATTATAAATTTTCCAACTAGAAATATCACTAAAAAAAGTCTGGCCTGAGACGCCCTGGTGTGTACATCGGTGTAATTCGTTCATATAATAGACTCAGTTTACTTTAATTTAATTTTCAGTTTAGTTAAGTTCAGTTTTTTTTTTCTTCTCTTTTTTAAAAAAAACACTATTATTAATCACGCTATTAAGTGTCGGATCTTCACAATAATCGGAGTAAAGAAAACGCAGCGAGATTGATAGAGTTCTGGGAGCAACGAGCTGGCAGGCGTCTACTAATCCTAACAGCATTAGACCAGCATTAGACGTTGTTTACTACCGTCAACAGTCCTGGTATTTATTTATATTTTAATTGCGAAGTAATTCTCATTAATAAATTTAAAAAATGGTGCAGTGTAATATTTGCAACAACTCTATCGCACGCGAAGATAAGAACAATATACACTGCGTTAAGTGTAAAATAATTTTTCATGGTAGGTGCGTCAACCTTAATGATAAAGACACCGAAGCATTAAAAATAATTAAAAAAACATGGGTTTGCTCTAACTGCGAACAGGTGAAAAAACAAAATACCGAGCCGTCCCCCTCAGAAATACTTGCGGCAGTAAATCGTTTAGACGCTACCGTGAACGAAGATATAAAAAACATGAAAACAGCACTAGATAAATACGGAGAGCTCAGTTTTGAACTAAACGAAAGACTGACGAAGATTGAAAAACATCTGGAAGGTCAAGCTAAAAAGTTTGAGGAGATACTATTAGAAAACAAAGCACTCAAATCCCGAGTGGGCGAATTGGAGGTTCGCTTGAATAACGCAGAGCAAGGACTATTGAGTAGATCACTGGAGATCCGCGGTATACCGGAGCGACCGGGCGAAACGCCCGCAGCTTTGGTGACCAGTATAGGAGCAAGCTTGGGGATCAGGCTTAGTGTGGAGGACCTGGACAACGTACATCGCCGCAGAAGCCGAAAAGATGACTCGCGACCACCGCCTGTTATCGCACGCTTTGTCAGGCAATCAATTAGAGATGATCTAATTACGAAAAGGAAAGTGAAGAGGGATTTCTCCACGCGGGATATCGGTTGGCAGGAAAATGACTGCCACCGAATTTATCTGGGTGAAGAGATGACTCGCACAAACAGACACCTCTATTGGCTAGCCCGGCAGAAGAGAGCGGCGGGAAAAATCAAATATACGTGGTTTGCTTCCGGAAAGGTGCGGTGTCGAAAAGAGGACGGACATAGAGTCATCCTGATAGAACAGGCCTCGGATCTAGATGTATTTGACTGACTACCTAGAAGCCGTCAACCCCTTAGCCTCATTAAAATAGTCTTACTTCTTCTCTTAGTGCTATCTCTACACCGTCACTCATCAATCTATTTATTTTCAAGTACATTCTCTTTATTTATTTTTAATGTTAATATTACTTTTTCTTCACTTAGTTTCATGTACGATAATCGCTTTTCTGTACTTTCTACTCGTTTTGTCTTCTCGCTACCAAACACTGACTGTTTCTCTCCAAATCCACTGTATGTCTAGTTCCCTAATCACATGTCAAGTTAACTCTCAATCACTTTCTGCCCATTATGACGAATTCCTGCAATACTTTACCCAAAACTTTTATCATATCATAGCAATATCCGAAACCTGGCTCAAACCTTATATTCCATCATCTTCAGTCTCCTTGCCTAATTACATCCTGCTCCGTCATGACCGGGTAAACCGGACTGGCGGTGGAGTAGCCATGTTTGTCCACAATAGCCTAAAGACCCGAATCCTCGATTGCTCCCCATCTTCCGATCATCCTCATGTAGAATACCTCTTAGTAGAAATTCTCAGTAATATTTCTCCTATCCTTTACGCCGTGGTATATCGCCCTCCTCTCGTGCCATTTGACCCGTCCTTCGAATCAACTCTATTCAACTTCGTTCCCCTCTATCCCAGAATAATTATCTCCGGTGACCTCAATACCAATTTCCTCTCAAACTCCAATGACAAATCCTATTTAGAAAATCTGTTTTTCTCACTTCACCTATTCATCGTTCCTTTTTCCTCCACCCACCACACCACC